TCGACAACCTCCAAACAGTCACCTTCCAACACCCGGATACGGGCAATCAGGTCAGCACGAGTGATTAACCGTCGATCTCCATCTGTTTCGTCCTCGGCCGGACGAACTGCGCTGTCCAAGACTTCCGTGCGAACCTTCAGCGCCTGCACCTCGGCCGTCGCCTCCCTCAACTTCTCCTCCAGCGAGGTCACCTTCCCCTCAGCGCCCTCTGCCCGTTTTCGCTGCTCAGCAACATCCTTCTGACTCTTCTCCAATTCCTCAGTAAGCTTGGCCAACCGCGACTGCATAAAGGTAAGGTCCCCCTGCAGTTTAGACAGCTCGGCAGCGGAGCAACCCTCCTCGTTCAGCACAAGAGCCGTCGTGAACGTCCGCATCATTGCAGCCAAGTCCTTCGCCAGGACACATCGACGAGACTCTCGATCGGCCTGACGGACAGCCTTCACCTCCCCAGCAGAGACGGTAGGAGAACGAGCACCATGAAAATAGCCCGGATGCTGATGGCAGGGCGGGACGACATAACCTTCCTCGGCCGAACCGACCGTCAGATCTACCACACCTCGGGGCTCCTCGGACCTCTGCCTTTTCGATGCTCCTTGAGACGAAGGAGACTGAATCCCTTGAGGCGAAGAAGACGAACTCTGCCCCCCCCCCGGCGTCACGACCTCCTGTCCGACCAACTGACTCACCCGCGTCCTCGGGACCGCGACATTCCTGGTAGCGCGCAACTGCTTTACCCGCTCCTCGACAGAAGACATGTTCGCTGCAAAAACAAAGAAAGAGTTAGCGACAGCCAGAACCCCGACCACGGGGAGAAAATGAACATTCCTACCTAGATAATCCAGAGCGGCCGCCCCGGTCGCACAACCGAGCAGGGTCTTGGTATTAATCAGTCGCTTCTTAGTTCGCACATTCCCCTGCGAGTCAAGGATATACCGACCGTCGGGCGTCACCAGCTTCGACGGAGGAAGAGACTGCACAAAGGCGACTATTTTCAAATAGGCGGCCATGTCTTTCTCCTCGAGGGTCCCCGCTCGTACGATATACCTGTCCGTACCTCGGTTGAAGTGCTCCACGGTCTACAACAGATGTATCTTGGGAAGCCACGCGAGGAACCGCTGGCCGTCCACCATTCGCCCGCCCTCGTCGAAGAGAGTATCCGAGCCCTGCTGTGTGATCGGTTTAACGAGGAAGAACCGACTTTTGAAATCCTTGACGTAATCACTATACGCCTTGAAGAGCTTGGTCGACTGTTTAAATGAGACCCATCCGTGGCGGCCATTCACCGTCTGCCGCTGTAAGTAGAAGATACGGAAAAACAACGGTACCGTCGACTCCACATCGAGGTAGAAACACACCACTTCGAAGGCGCGGATGAAAGCCAAGGCGTTGGGGTGCAGTTGGGACGGGGCCAAACGCAACCAATCAAAGAGCCCCAGATGAAAGGCGGAGAACGGTAACCGGAGCCGAGCCTCTTTAAAGTAGAACTCGTGCATCGGGAACATCCGCCGCCCATATCGCGAGCAGATGCGATGATGCTCTTTCGGTCGGTACACCTGCCAATGTTGCGGCTCCCCTATAGGCGTATCCTCGGCGGTGGCATACACGTCGGACGCGTCGGCCACAAAACAAGACAGGGTAGACAGCGGCTCCTCAGCCGCCAATTCTTCGGACGGGGCGATGCGCTCGTCATCAAAGTCCGGGACCTCGGGTTCGTTGTCTTCGACCATTATCCCCGGTACCAAAGCCGACATCTACACCTAAAAAGCAGAGGACAACGTTGAATTCGATAGCCAGGATCAAATCCACCCTTCCATCGCAGGTCAAGTGAAAGGGCGACAAAGGCCAGAGAACGACGAGCAAACACGCGCTCCCCGTCTACCCTCCTCGGGGCGTCTTAAGCCGACTCGCCATCTCTCCGCGGGACGGTCACTAGAAAAAGCGCGCCTCCCCGGGGCATTCACCGGAAAAGGCACTCGTCCCCAGAGCATTCATCGGAGAAAGCCCCCGTCCTCGGGACATTCATCGGAACAACCGATTCTCCCTGGGACACTCACCAGAAAATTCGTCAGATACGGCGGATCTTGCGTCCCTCCTCGGGGCATTCATCATGCCCCGACCACGCGTTCTAATTAAACGACGGAAATAAAAAGGAAGAGAAATGAGAACTCACTTGTAACGGCGGCGAACGGAGGGAAGGATCAAACGGTGCGGCGGCGATCGGCGGCAAGCGGCGGACGAGCAAAGATGTCAGAGCTTCGCAGGTACAACAACAGAGTGAAAAGTAATAAAATGAGCGGGGACCCCCGTATTTATAACCCGGCGCGGGATTCGAAGCGACACTAGGCTCATTAATGACATAGGGTAGCCACCCCTACGACCGCTTAACGCACGGCACGTGGCGGCAGCCTGACGGTCGCGCCCCTTCACCTACTTTCACCCCGCTCCGCCGACGACCGAGGATCCCCGCACGAGCGCCCGTCCCACCATGCACGAGTCCCGACGAACCTCCCGTTTCGTTACCTCTCTCCCTGACACAGCGACCTTAAGTCATCGCTCTTTCCCCATAGCTTCGACTTGGGGGGCTCCTGTTCTGGCCTGGGCCCGACCTCGGTCCAGCCCAGTGCCTCGCGCGGCCCAATAAGCGAATTGGCCACGCCGGGCACGCACGCCCCGCTGGACGGGCGGAACGCACCACCGGGCACGGGCGACGCAACCCACAGCCTCTCGCCGTTCCCTCTTATCGACCGAGCAGGACGCACCCCAACGTATCAAAACGAGGCCTTGGCTCCGCCCCTCCGCGGGGAGAACATTGCGCCCCGGGGAATCTCCCAAGCTCCCCTCCGCGGGAAGAATAACGTGCCTGGTGCACGTTCTTCACGTGCTCCCCTCCGCGGGGACACGTCATCAACCAACTGCCCACCTCCGAAAGAGCAGGTCAAACCCACTTTCCGGAAATCAAGGAGCAGTTGGACTAGGGCGAAGACCACGTCCTGGTCTTCACTACTCCACGTAAGCCCTAGCAGTCATTAGGGTTGGGCCTGGTCATCCAGCCCACCTCAAATGACCGTTGGCCCAGCGCTGGGGTCTCTCTATAAATACCCTCTTCCTCAAGAGGGTCAGGTAATTCACATCTTGCCCTTTCTGTACTTTGCTCTCACTCTGCCCAATTTCTTACTTTGGCATTTGAGTGTCTTGCAGGTACACCCCCCTTCTCCTCCTCATCACCGGCGAACAGGTAGCAGCCCAACAGCGTGTGGCCAACCCGTGATCCCCACCTGATCAGGTCGGATCATATATATATATATATATATATATATATATATATATATATATATATATATATATATATATATATATATATATATATATATATATATATATATATATATATATATATATATATATATATATATATATATATATATATATATATATATATATATTAGTTTACTTGAGTAAACTCATTTGTTTTTATAAATGTCTATTTTAGCAACATGCATCTTATAGTGCATTTATCTATTTTTTAGTTAAAATTTGCTAAAACACATCTACATAAAAACAAATGAGTGTTGTTTAATAAATGTGTATTTTAATATCATGCACCTTAAAGTGCATTTACAGAGATTTTAGTTAAAACTTGTTAAAATAGATATTTATAAAAATAACTGAATCTATGTCCAACCTACTTACTCATACTCAAATTAAAATTAAAATGAAGGATGCTCCATGTAATATTTTTAGATCAAACCGTTTTAGATTAGAAGTCAATTAATCATTTACCTTTTTTTTAATCTTTTTATATTGAATTTAATTTTTATTAAAAAACTATCAAGTTTATCTAAACTCAAAGTGAATTTGATTTCGGTCAAGAAAAAAAGGGCATTTAATCATTTTTCTTAACAAATGAAGTTGATTCTTTTAGTTTTATTATTTTAGAAAAAGCTGATTTTATAGTTTTACTATTTTAGCAACTTTGATTAGACCAATAATAATAAAAAATACAGAAACAAACATAAAAAAAATAAAGTAAGAATAATGCGGGTGTGTGTATATGACACAACTGACCAATAAGAAGGAATCGATTATGACGTGGCGCAAGCTTATTGAATAGATTTGACACGTTTACCATATATATCATAAAACGTTAATTAATTAATTAATTAAAGAAAAAATAGCAACAAAAAAAAAGAGAGAGGGAACGAAGTGGATCAATCAGAAATTTATTTATGGGTAATGTTAACTTGTGCCCTTTGGGCACATGTTAAGGAAACCACTTTTAGTAAATTTGTATTGAAAAAAACAATTTAAAAATTAATTTTATACTTTAATTTAAGTTTGTACACAATTTCCAAGATGATATTTCTTAATTTAATTCTTAACATGTGCCCCAAGGGCACAAGTTAACATTACCCTTTATTTATTACAACTATCTTCAGTTTTGTGTTCTTAAGAAACAAAAACCGTGCAATAAGAATTAAATAAAATAAAAAAATTGAAGAGAAAAAAGAAAGAGCTTCCGCTTCGTGTATGAGACTGTGTCTGTGTGGACTCTGACAAGAGATTAAGCTAAACGCGATTTCGAAACCGTAAGCACTTTCAGATCTCATTTTCAATTTCATTTTCATTTGAATCGCTTTTCGAATCCTAAATGCCGATGAATTTAGATCCGGTTACGTGATTCCGTAAATTCTCTTTAAATCCTAATTTCGAATCTCGTTAGTTGCATTCATTTCATAAATCTTCAATGTACTTATTAACTTGTGTTTAATTTTTCGTTTTGTTTTTGTGTGAATTGTGTAGTTTTTTCTACTGTGAAATACTGAAAAGGAAGAAGAAGATAAGAAAGCCCTTTTTGTTGAATGTGAATTGTGGATTTTTTTTGGGTGTTTTGATAAAGGAAATTCAAAATTCAGCGACCGGGTTCAGGGGGTGACTTGCCCCAAGGAGGTGAGTACAGCCCTTATCCTGTTGTACGGAGAGTGAATTCAACACATTCTATAATGATGGATGAAGATATGGAGAGTGGTACTTTGGGTTCTTATCATGACAGACCAAGAACTTTCCCTAATATGCGTACTAAACCTTACACACCTCTGGTAAATCACTTGTTGCACTTGCACCTTATTGTTCTTACATTTAGTTTTGTCAAATTTCTGCAAAGTTTTTTGATGATTGAGGTATAAGTTTGTTCAAAGAGCGACCTTAGTGCAATGTAAGATTGCATACAACCTCTCTATTTGTGGGGGTAAGGCTGCTTCATGAATCTACCCTCCCCAAACTCCATTTGGTGGGAGATTTGTGTATTGAGTTGCCTTTTGAACTATGTTTTTCTTCAGCAATGTCTGATGAACTATATAGTTAATACTAATTGTGTGGTTGCTGAAATTGTCTACTTATATTTTTCTGCAGCTATTTCGAATTCTATTGGGTATAAATGTTCGTGTCCTGTTTGTTCTTTTACTGCTGGGGTTTGGAGCTATCTTTTACATGGGTGCAAGAACATCTCCAATTATTGTGTTTGTCATCTCTATTTGTATTCTCAGCTTCCTTGTGGCGATATATCTTATGAAGTGGGTGCTTGCTAAAGATGAGGGTCCTCCTGAAATGGTTCAGGTAAATCTTTTTCCTATGTTTTGGTGGGTTTCTTCACTTACTGCAATCTGGAAAGTGTTGTCAAGGGCCTCTCTCTGAATCACATGAGACTGAAAATATGTTTTGAATTGTGTATTTGAATGAGGGTAAAGTACGATATACACCCCCCCACATGAGGCTAGCCTAATCAATATCTCTCAATTTCATGAACTCTGATATTTTCTAGCAATTTGGTTTTCAGATAGAAGCATGGTACTAGATAAAACATTATGGAAAAAGTTGATCCATTTGGTTTTCGGAAATGATAAATACTATAAGACATATTTTTATAGAAAGGTGTTAAGATTGACTTGGAGCAATTATGCATCTTTGTAGGCGTAGGAAAAATTGATTTCTGTGAGTCCCTTGACTTGAGAGAGAGAACAAGGTTGATTACTGTGAGTCACTTACAGTATTGTCGATGCGGAGAGGCAAAATCCCGCCATATCGGCCGCTTTGTGGCGCCGTTATTGCGGATTATGGCAGAAAACCCACACTAGCGGTCGATATTTACCATTGCGGTGAGCCCAAAAACCGCCATGTAAATCTGCCATAGCGGCCATGGCGGGGCAATTTGATAACACTGGTCACTTATGAGAGAGGTTCGGCTAAAATAAAATTGCCACATCATATTTAGCCTAAAATAAAAATCAATTTTCATGTAAAATACAACTTCTATTTGGTTACTGGTAAATTGAGTTTTGGACTTCCAATTCAGTTTTCCTCAGTTTAATTAATCTGGATGGAAATTTGCCTCAAGTGGATTAATCATGTGATATGAAGAGCAATACAGGCTTTACAGAGGAAACTGAATCAAATGAAAGATAGTCCAATTTTAAAAACAGGACGTTCAGAAATTCAAAAAATAAAAACCGAATTAAAAACAGGAAGTTAGGCCCAAAGTTATCTTGTGAAATATTTTGTTTAAATATCCTGTGAAAATTACTAATAGACACAGGTAAACTTGATCAACTATCAGCATTAGCAAGTCCAGAACATTTTGTTAATGTGCATAGATCCTGGTTTCTGTCAGAAGATCTGTGAGGCCATTTGGTATTCAGCTTATTATAAAAAAATTAGTGGTTAAGAATGATAACTGTTTGAGTGCTAAAATTATTGTAGATAGTCTTTCATGATGACTGTTTGATAATTGGATTACATACCACAAACTCTTTGTTTTTTTGTCCTGTGCTTATCATATTACTTTCTAGATAGCTGATGCTATACGAGATGGAGCTGAAGGATTTATTAGGACCCAGTATGGAACTATATCCAAGATGGCTATGGTGCTTGCTCTTGTCATTCTTGGCATATATTTGTTTCGCCGCATAACTCCTCAACAGGAAGCTTCTGGCATAGGAAGGTGACATCACAACTATATAGGCTATAAATCCTTTCTTGAACATTTTACATATTCTCATCTGTCATATACATTCTATTTCAGGACAACATCTGCATACATCACTGTAGCTTCTTTCCTTTTAGGTGCCCTTTGTTCAGGTTCTGCTGGATATGTAGGGATGTGGGTCTCAGTTCGTGCCAATGTCAGAGTCTCTAGTGCCGCGAGACGGTCTGCAAGAGAGGCATTGCAGGTTAACTGTCATTAGTTCAGTATCAGCTCCTAAGAAAAAAGATGAACAGTTCGCTATTCCTATATTAACTGAAAGAAAGTTCTGCAGGTAGCTACTCGTGCAGGAGGTTTATCAGCTATCATTGTTGTTGGTATGGCTGTAATTGGTATAGCAGTCCTTTATGCCACATTTTATGTTTGGCTGGGAGTGGACACACCGGGTTCAATGAAGGTTACTGATTGTATGTGCAGACTTCTCCCCCGAACTTATTCATTATAATGAATGAAAAAGTTACTTTTAAAATGTTTGAAGTTTAGATGTTGTATTATTAACATAGATAAGTGCTTATAATGTTTCATTGTTATAGTTTTCCATTTGGTAAGTGTTTGTGATCTGGTGAATTTTTATTTGTGTATAGATCTGACTGTGGTCCCGAATGGTTCCTAAATGTACTGAAAAACCCAAAAGATTATTTCCTTTTCACCCCTAAATACGCTCTGCATCCATTTTAAGCATAGTGAGTTGAAGTGGGGATAATTTAATGTGGTCTGAAATGATTTGTAGCTTATGTGATTGCTCCATGATTTTGTCTTTACTGTTAGGGATCAGAGCATTACCTGCATTTTATTGCTATTTGATTTTTATATGATTTTTGCTTTCCGTCAGTGCCGCTTCTTCTAGTTGGATATGGATTTGGTGCCTCCTTTGTCGCACTGTTTGCTCAGTTGGGTGGTGGAATATACACTAAAGCAGCTGATGTTGGGGCAGACCTTGTCGGAAAAGTAGAACAGGGAATACCTGAAGATGACCCTAGAAATCCTGCTGTTATTGCTGATCTGGTAATTGTTTAATTGTTCTTTATGTCATCTGGGGTTTCAGTAGACTACTACTTGTTTTTCTCAGGGCTATAGTATAGTTTGGAAAATTTTAAAGTCATAATAAGGTTATAATTAACGGAAACAGTATGTCTAATTACTATTGTTCATGTTTAACTTCCATTGATGTTTTACATGGTCATATTTAAAGGTGTTGATGCTAGACAAGTTGAATTTTACTCTGATTGAATTTACTGGAAGGTGTTCTCTGATTATAAGTTCCTAAGACTTAAATATTTGCATTTGTTCTTATGTAGAAGTTTATGGGATTTCTCAAACTTTTTTAGTCATTGTTCTGGTTTTGTTAAACTATTTGATAACTAGAGAAGAAAGTATGTAATATAAATTGGAATATACTGATAAATTTAGAAGAAGAAAAAAAACAATATCTTTGCAGTTTAAACATGGAATTTTGTAGTGGTGTCCATCGTAGATGTATATATTTCAATATATCTTAAATTTAAGTTTCTTGCAAAAAAATATTGAAAAATAAGATATTATGAACATAGTCATATACTGATTGATATACATATAGGAAAGTTTTGTAAAATTCTTTCACTCATAAAATTATAGACATCAGCCAAATGAAAATAACTGTATGCTGTTTATAATATCCGTGGCCTTTCTGTTTCTGTCTTTACTGTTTTTTTCCTAGTCCTGTACTTCCTGTGGTATCTTAATGGGGCTGGTTTGATTCTAAGGTTGGAGACAATGTGGGAGATTGTGCTGCCAGAGGTGCTGATCTTTTTGAAAGTATTGCAGCTGAAATAATCAGTGCCATGATACTTGGGGGAACAATGGCACAAAAGTGTAAAATCGAAGGCAAGTGCCTAGTTACTCTATCTTGTCTTTTCATTTCTTTTTGATTTTCACTGAGTTGTATTCTGCTCAACTAATTTTATGTTTTTTTCTTTTGATTCAGATCCATCTGGCTTCATCTTGTTTCCTCTTGTTGTTCACTCATTTGATCTGATAGTTTCATCGGTGGGAATATTTTCTATTCGGGGTACACGTGAATCTGGAGTAATGACTCCTATGGAAGATCCTATGGCAATTCTTCAGAAAGGATATTCTGTTACAATAGTTTTAGCTGTTCTAGCATTTGGTTTGGTAATAATTAATCTTCATTTGTGATATAATAATTTGGCTTTTCTAAGTTGTGTGAATTGGCTAAGCATGCTGTGTTCTATTTGCTGTATTTTTTTTTGTCGTTGAGATATGTAGTTTCTGTTTTGAACTGCACAACAAAATATCTTCAACCTTTTCAAATTCAATATACCTTCTATCGCTCTTACCGTTTAAATTTACTTACTCTACAGTCTACCCGGTGGTTACTTTATGTTGAGCAAGCACCTTCAGCATGGTTCAACTTTGCTTTGTGCGGGTTGATTGGTATTATTACAGCGTACATTTTTGTCTGGATCACCAAGTATTATACTGACTACAAGCATGAGCCTGTACGCACATTAGCCCTTTCTAGCTCTACTGGCCATGGGACTAACATAATTGCCGGGGTCAGTTTGGGGCTGGAATCTACTGGTCTTCCAGTCCTTGTCATCAGTGTGGCGATTGTCTCAGCGTACTGGCTGGGCCAGACTGCTGGACTAATAGATGAAACAGGAAACCCAACTGGTGGGCTGTTTGGCACAGCTGTTGCAACAATGGGAATGCTTAGCACTGCTGCCTATATTCTTACCATGGATATGTTTGGCCCAATAGCTGATAATGCTGGAGGAATTGTAGAAATGAGCCAACAGGTATTTCTGGCCAAACAAATATTTTCCTTACTTTTTATATTTTAGATTTCTCATGGTATGTAAACTGACATTACCTATTATCAGCCTGAAAGTGTCCGAGAGATCACTGATGTCCTTGATGCCGTGGGTAACACAACCAAAGCCACCACCAAAGGATTTGCCATTGGCTCTGCTGCGCTTGCTTCTTTCCTTCTGTTTAGTGCTTATATGGACGAGGTTTCTTCATTTTCTCTTGAACCTTTTAAACAGGTCTGCAGAACTGGTTCCCATCTAATTCAACTATTATAGTTATGCAGTTGAGAGAAAAGGAGAGAAAGTGTGATATGGATCTGAAACGTTATTGCAGGTTGATATTGCAATTCCAGAAGTTTTCGTGGGTGGGTTGCTGGGTGCCATGCTTATATATGTCTTTAGTGCTTGGGCCTGCGCTGCTGTTGGCCGAACTGCGCAAGAGGTTGTTAATGAAGTAAGAAGGCAATTTATCGAAAGGCCTGGTATAATGGTGAGTTTAAGTTTGTAAAGTAATGTTAAGTATGTTAGTTTATGTTTTGAATTCTCCTTTTTCCTCTCTCTTTTTTTCCCCCTTTCTTTTAATTGCTTAATGCTTTCTACAGGATTACAAGGAGAAACCAGATTATGCTCGCTGTGTTGCAATTGTAGCATCTGCATCATTAAGAGAGATGATAAAACCTGGTGCTTTGGCAATCATTTCACCTATTGTAGTTGGTGAGTGAACTTCTGTTTTTCAATTGCATTTGCATACATATTATTACTAGTAAAACTTGTGGGAGAATGATAACATTTATACAAGTTTTGGGCTGTACGATAATCATCTCATTAGGTGAAAGTGAGTAATTGTTGTGACTATTTAAGACATGGACAAAATAACTTTAGTCTTGAATTTCTAGAGGCAGAGATTTTAAAAATGTTTCAGCATGTATTTCATAATACTCGTACGTGTGTTCTGCTCATTTTTTGTGCATACCCTGCCTAGATGGCAGATACTATATTACTTCACACTCGAGTAAAAAAAGACTAGTTTGGAGAGTTCCCATATTTCTCATCACCAAGTCTTTCTATTTAAGTAGTTTGATTTCCTGATTATGAGTTCTAAATGATTTCCTTGTAATTGTTCCACTAGTACGTTGATAATAAGCAGTTGCATACTCGTTTTGGCATTGAAAAGATCTATAAACTAAGTACTGTTGTTAGTTGTACCTGATTATGAAAATTTTATAGTAGCATTGCTCTGTTGCATTTGGGCAAACTGTTCGTATATTTGAAAAATATTTCCATGAATTTGTTGCATCGTTTTGTGTGTACTCTAGTTTTGTCATTGCTAAAGTTCCTGGACCAACTTTATGGAAAATGCCTAGATATCAACCGACTGTTTCTACATTCTATGTTATTTTTCATTTTTCTATGACCTGATCGGCGATATGTTAATTGTATATTTACTTAATCATTTGCAGGTTTTCTATTCCGAATTTTGGGCTACTATACAGGGCAACCCTTACTCGGAGCTAAAGTTGTTGCTGCTTTTCTGATGTTTGCAACAGTGTCTGGTATCCTTATGGCACTTTTCCTGAACACATCTGGTGGTGCCTGGGATAATGCAAAGAAGTACATAGAGACTGGAGCTCTTGGAGGCAAGGGAAGTGATGCTCACAAAGCAGCAATAACAGGAGATACGTAAGTTATTTCATACGCTACCTTCCTTGTACAATAATGACCTTAACATGCCAATGACTTTGTATGCATATGTTTATGTTTTTCTGCATATGCAACGTGGTTTTTGATTGCTTTTGATTTCATCAGTAATCTATCAATATTCAGCCATTGTGGCCAGTGTTTATTATAACATACCAGTGACATTTTTCTGTTTGTCTAGTAAAGTAGGACACTTTTAACAAGTACTGAATTTTTTTATTTATTTGACAGAGTGGGAGACCCATTCAAAGACACGGCAGGGCCTTCACTTCATGTCCTTATAAAGATGCTCTCAACAATTACGCTGGTAATGGCTCCCATCTTCCTGTGAGAGTTGTTGATATCGTCATTGTGGCCTCGAAAAAGCATACTTGTGCCAATTTGATTTTGATATTTTTGGGAGTATAGGGATAGGTTGTATGAATCTATTATGTACATGGATGAGCCTGATTTATAGCCACATTGAGTTTTCTTGTTCTTGATCAGAATAAGAGATGTTAGTTGACCAATTAAATGGCAAATATAGATAATGTCCCTCTTATTTTTTGGTCTATTTAAATGATTTGTTTTTATGCTCTGGTCACGAAGAAATATATTAAATGGTGCTAATTTAAATATAGGAATCAGTGTCCTGAACAAAATATGATGATCAAGGTCTTGGATAAACAGTTTAGTTACATTTATTTAATGAGCACTTATTTATAAGCTATTCATATAAGGTGCAATTATATGTCCATAGTTATTTGGAAGAACTCGTAGAAATTCGTTTAAAACAACTTTAAAAAATGTTGTAAGTTACTATTTCTTAAGTCCGTCCTAACATGTCCCATGTATTTTCCAATAAGCATTCCTTTGTTTTTGGTTCACTTAAGCCAAAAATATATATAATATTTCCTCTTCAAGATGAAGACATTCTTAATTTTGAAGCATCACATTTTATTGCTGTTGGATTGTATCTTTCAAATATCACTAGACTAATTATAGCATTTGCTGTAAAGTTGACAAGATTAAGTTCAACATCAAAACATATACAATCCATCTGGAAGACTATACAGTGAGGTGATAGATCAAAACACATTTCACCAAAAAAAAAAAAGGGTTATAAATGTGATGTTGAATTATTCACAATAGCATTACTAACTTCAATTTTCAAGAAGTATATGTTTAACATTGAGATGTACTAACTAAAGAATATTTCATAAATGGTATATTTCGAGAAAGGTTTAATGAAACATGTTTATAGTGTAAAATATGTTGATTTTGATATTTTTGGGAGTATACGGATAGGTTATATGAATCTATGATGTATATTGATGAGCCTAATTTATTAGGAAAATTTTTAATGCACTTTATATATTACTTAAGCGCCACATGAAAATACTTAAATGTTTTTTAGATTTTAGAATCGTATTTTTAAACGTATCTTGAAACATTAAATGAATCAGAGATGTATTTCTGTAATTATTTAAAAAATATACTTGCATTACGCTCAGAAGTTATTTTACAAATTTATTATACCGAAGATGCATTTCCGTTTATTTTACGGAGATACATCTCTGTAACCTATCAGAACAGAATAATACGTGTTATATTTTGTTTATGTGTATTTAGGTGAAAATTTATAAGTGTTATGTATCATATTATGTGACAAGATTTAAATCATACAATCTGGATGCAAAAAATGAAGTTATAAATCCAAATGGTCCAAAAATGTCATATTTAAATAAAGTTGAAAACAACGATAAAGTAACATGAAGTGAACATAAAATATAATCCAAAATGAATCCAAAGTACAAATACTATATATTATTGCACTAATGTGTATGTCAGACTACATCTCCTCTGTCTCCTCTAGCTCCTCCGGCTCCTTGGACTCTTCGATAATCAATCCCCTCGTCCTCCAGCATTGTCTCTTGTACATCGATGCTCCCCGTGCCTCCGTCATGATGGCATATAGGACTTGCCTCACATCAGACCCATTAGGGAAGATACCTCTGTCAATGTCTGCCTGCGCAAACTCTACTACGCGACGACATCTAAACAAGACATCCTCAACATGATCTAAGTGTGTTTGCTCCTCCTCTACTATCTCTTGATGAGCTAACCTCGATAGATCTCCTGGAGAATGCTTCACCATATATATATGTGACACCTTGAAGAACCAACTGATGTACTCGTCGACGTAGCTTCAGTCGCTCTCAACTATGGTATTTTGTGTCTCCTCCGATACTAGATGACTCTCATAATCATCAAACATGTCCTCCATCTGTATACATGTTAAATAGGAGAAGTAGAGATAACATGGTGTTTGAGAATGGTCTAAGTGTAGCCAAATTGATGTACGACACACTTGGGCAGATGAGGAGCAGTGAAATGTGATATGCAGACCTACCATCCTGACTATAACACAATCTCATCAAACGACTGTGTATCATGGTGATCCACATAGTTGTTGAAGTGCATGTCATTGGCAACCAAGCGGCCGAGATACACTTTGAACGCTTTTGTCGCCTGGTTCCCTCTGAGCGGGGAAACTGCAGTAGAATGTGGCATACCTTTTGTGTAAGTCAGTACACTCGCCCAGTCAGAGATGTGCGGGAAATGCTGGAGGATCCAAGTCTGAAAAGTTTGGAACACACAAATTATCAATAATGGTGTTGCAAAGATGAAATGAAAATGACACATAAACATTAAAAGATTAATAAATATTACTGTCAGTAGTATGATGTTGTCGGTGACCTGCTTCGTCTTCCATCTACAACCCTCAGATAAATTTGAGTACAGGTAGACCAAACAAGCACCCCAAGTTATACTCATGGACCCGCTAGAAATCCTTGAAGTATTGTAGGTAGACGACATTTGTATAAGTGGTACTCTTGTCCACAAAAATATTAGTGTTAACCAAATATAACATGTATCCTCTCATAGCATACGCTCTATGGAGCCCCACCTGCTCGTCATCCTCTCTAGCTTCATATGTTATAAGGAGCTCATTCAAGCTTGGCATGACCCTTTGGTTCTATCCATCTACGTCGTCGTATCCGCTAGGTCAACTCTCGGATAGTCTATCATCATCTCGAGTGCCTCGTCTTTCCTAATCCTCCAATGATCTAGAAGTTCCCTCTGATAAGAAGATGTAGCAAACACGACACATCAGAAGATGAAATAAGGAAGTATCGACGAGTCATCTCTCCACGAATGCATTAAGCATCATGTGGTTGACTATAGTATGACCGGTCATGCACAAGCCCTTCATCCTAGATAGGGACAAAGATGCCTAAAACCATTCCTTATTCGGCTGAGGCAAACTAGTAATCTTCTGCCCGTGGTTAATAATCTTCATCGGATCATGTTCTTGCAGAAAAATAAACTTATCTCAAAAAATTATAAATTAAAATAAATGTAAATTAAAAGAAGGAATCTAAGTAATGTTACCTCTTCGTCCAAAATATGTCTGGTAGTATGGTTTGAGTACAGAGGCAATAGTGGAAACTCTACAAGGCCTCATCTAAATGCCTCTGGCTCAACATCCTCAATAACCTCACTATCCAGAGGTGGCATTGGCTCAACACCATCAAGAGTATGAGGTGGCACTAGCTCAGCAGAATCAACAATATCATTAGTAGGAGATGGTATTGGCTCGGTAGCATCATGCGTCGGAGGTGGCAATAGTGCATTAGGTACCACCAGTGACTCGGGTACCTTTGGCGCATGAATAGGTGATACCTGGCACTTGGAAGAGGATGGAGGGAGTGATGCGTCGGTAGGTGAAACATGTCTCCTACGGGAAGAAGAAGATGGAAAAGAAAGAGGAGAAGTATGAGCCCTAAAAATAGATGGCTCTGTGTGGCCAGAATGAACAGAAGCCTCCAAAACCTGAATCTTCTCCCGTCACACCAATGCATATTGTGCAATCCTCCTATACCTCAGCCTATCGTGTTTATCAACCATTATGAATGTAAGTTAAAGTAAATCAGACAATTAATGCAAGTAAGGAACACTATAACCAGAAAACCAAAAAAATAACAAACTATTATTTTATGAAGATGCATCTCGAAGTAATATGAAACCAAACGTTGAAAATTTCAGAGATGCATCTCGGGGTAATAGGAAACCAAACGTTAAAAATTTTCGGAGACGCATCTCCAGAATTTTCTGCAACTCTTCAGTTTATCAATGGAGGCAATGCAGAACTTAAACCTCAACATAAACGGTTTGATCATGATTTTCAACAAACGTATGTGTTTTTACAAAATGTATAAACTAACATTCTTACATTTCCTACTCATTTGATACCTAAATCATCATTTTCTACTCATTTACACAAAAAGTAAAATACTCAAAAAACTTATCAAAACATTAAAAATATAAAGCAGAAAACAAAACATGCAAACTCTAAGCCCTAGTACTAAAAAACTCCAAGCAAGGTAGTTCAAGACAAACACAAATGACATATAGATTATATTTATACCTAAATTATCATACACATAAGCTATTAAGGTAATGCATGCATGCATGTAAAATAAAAGAAGACGTGTAATGAGTAATGTTTTTTTTTTACAAATAGACTTAATATCCTTTTTGATCTCGTGTGTTATACCTTGGGGTCAATTTTGACCCTATAATTTTAAAAATAAAAATAGACTTAATATATTTTTGGGTTAAATATACAAACACCCCCATGTAATGTTAACGAGTTTCGGTTTACCCCTGTAAAATAATTTTTTTTTATATTCCCCTCTTGTAATGTGAAGATTCCTTCACTATGATCCATGAGTGCACTATTTGCTAACGAGGCGTGTATATGTGTCATTTAGTTTATTTTTTATTATTTTTTTAAATTCCACGTCACCAAATAGTAAAAAATAATTATAAAAAATTTCACGTGGCATTTTAAAAAATAAATTTATTCCGAGGGGGTAAATCAAAAATCGCTCATATTATAGATGGTAAAATATATTTCTGTTGTTTTTATATTTTTTTTTCAATTGTTATCATTTTAGTATTCACACAACACTTGTAGCATTAAAATGAAAAATAAGAGATCAATAAAAAAATGCTTTGATATACTGCATATGAAATACTTTGTCTCCATGATCTATGCAATATAATAATACTTTATTTTACAAACACCTTGTAAAATAAAACCTGAAATTAAGAAATGAAGGGATTGAGTAAAAGACACAATTAAAGAGATAATTTAATATTGTAGGTCTCAAAAATTTGAGGATTCTGCTAAAGAAGAACCTGCTTTGGTTGCCAAATTTACTCAACTACATGAGGACTTGACTAACGGTTTCCGCAACCTTGAGGATGGAGCCTGATAATTGAAGAGAGAATTTAATATTGCAAGTTTGATCAAGTATTACGTTATTCATGTAGTAAGATGCAATCTAGTATCCCGTGGTAGCTGTGAGATTATTCTTTCTCCTATCCCTTTACATTCATGTATGAGTGATATCTGTTATATTTAGAAATAACGTATTTTCACATTAATCATCGAGTGTGATTGAGTTACAAAACTCTTTTTTTTTATAAGAAATAAGAACGGTTGGTTTAACAAATAAACGTGATTGAATTGGATCAAACTGCATTTTCGACATCCTTTTTTTTGTATGTATTCTTCCACTTTGTACATATGTGGCCTTGTCCTTACTGCTTAGTGCACTGTTGCTATTAGGTCATAGATAGTAAGTTAGGTTTGACTTTTTTTTCATGATAGTTGGAATTGCATGTGTAATATATTCAAATCAGTATAAACTATTTTTTTAATGATAATTTGAATTTTATGTGTTCAAATATTTTGTGTGCAATGCATAGGTGAACTAATATCTTACATGCATGACTAATGTACAAAAAAAATAAGGTATTTTTTTAGTAAGATATTAATCATACATGTAAGATATTAGTCTATACTAATTCATGTTGTGTCATATTCAATGGGTGTTACAAAGTGTCATGAAAGGAATTACATGTGCTATGTCATATTGTTTATTTTAATTCATCTTAATTAGTATACCACACTAAATAACACCATTTCATGACACTTTGTAATACTTTGTACATATCACTTTGTAATTCCTTTCATGATACTTTGATGGGATGACCTAGGTAGTTCTCCGTATGCATTCAGTGTCATGGAAGGATATGACACTTTATAAAATCATTGAATGTATCAGTATACCACACTCTATGATTGAGGAGCTCAACAATGACGTACATATAATGGGACCAAATGATCAAAAAACCCCTCAAATATAACATCAACATATTTGCGGGTGACAATGGAAAGAACATACATGGTAAAGGCCTCTTGAAATACCCTGCATATATCTGAACTGCCACATGTCTCGCTCAGGAAAATGTGAATATATAAGTCGTAACCCAAAAGCCAACTAGTTAGAGTAGAAGGTTGTCATATTCAATGGGCATGTCTGACGGTGATTAACATATAGCATGAAATAGATATCATCTGCCACGATGCAGTCAAGATAAACTCAAAATGACTCGATTTCCTGATTCCCATTGAGTGAGATAATAGAGAAATCACGTGAAAAATCCTTAGAGTAGTCTTTCGCACATGCCCAGTGGGGAGACTTGGAAAGTGTTGGTGGTTCCATGCCTGAAAAAATGGTTCAGATGAAATATTATCGACATAGTAGCACAAGTATTATGAAATGTTAGTAACAGAAAAGTGAAAAAGTATTATCGTAAATAGATTGTTTACCATCTATTGTCTAGTATTTTATATAGAAACTTCACATAACTTGTAGTAGAGGTAAACCAAGCAAGAGGTTCCCCAATTGTACTTATAAATACTTTCTAAGTTTATGAAGTATATGAGATAGATGACATCGACATAGGTTGCAATTTTGTCCATAAATATGGATGTGCCAACCAAAAATATGAGGTGTGCCCTTAATACACATCCTATATGTTACAAAATGCATGCATCATTACCATCATCCTCCATTGCCGAAGCCAAGTGGTGTCTATACAACATCTTCAAGAATGAAAATCTGGCATGACATCCTCTGGTAGGGATGTATATGGATATTAATGGGAGCGGATAGTGTGATATTCGTGTCCACCCATTGGATAAATATGATATTCATATTCATACGAGTATTCGCTAAATGGGTAATCCACAAGTTTTAAGGTATCCTTGATATTTAAAGACATCCACGAATAACATTTTTTTCTAAATTATTTATTTGAAAAAATATATATTTTAGGCTTCTTTTTACGACACAAAAAAGTTATTATCACATAACATTCATATAATTCGCTCTTAATTTAACAGCAAAATTTTATCACATTAATTTTCTTCTTTTTAACCAAAACACAATAACATTCAAACATAATATCTGTAAATTTTATTTTTAACTAAAACAAATGAACTAAATAATGATTGTAAGTTATGGTGAAAGAGCAGACGACGAAGGAGTAGGAAGAAAGAGACTCGTTAGACGGTGAAGTGAGGTTTGGAGTATACAAGAAGCTTAAATATGAAATGATCAAATATTATTGTATGGAATGTGAAATATTTTCTTCAAAGAAAACTTAAGAAAAAATAAATAAAAGAAATATGAGAATATTAATGTTTTAGAAGATGAAAATGCATAGTATAATAAACTAATGATATTTAAATAATTTATATAATTTTAACGTCTACATATATTCGTGGGCACTAGTATAATTAAATATGCACCTGTATCAATTAAAAAATGGGTAATTAATTTTCTATTCATTTTATCTACGAATATCCATTAAGCTACTCGCCTCATACCAATGACAGATTTTATCCACAGGTACCCACAATTACGAGTTTGTTTTGTCATCCCTAGTGTCATATGTCTCCTTTTGGACATCACTTGAGACAACTCCTAAATAGTTCACCATCATGTCTAATGCCCCTTATCTATTACATCTGGAGTAGTTTTATAATCTTCCGGTGATCAAAATATGTAGGAGGGAAGGCACATCATCAAGTGTGATAGACATTTCACCGATTAAAAGATGAAATAGTGACATCTCTACGTGTTATCTCTCTGCGAAAGCAGACAATAAGCTACGGTTATAATATAACCATCCTTAATCCTCTATAAATCTTTCATCCTAGATGCATGCATGACATCCTTACACCATGGCTCATTAGGTTGCGACAACTTTGCAATCTTCTTTTCATGGTTTATACATTCAACATATCACGATACTATAAAAAAATATAATAGTTAGAAAATTCAAATCTTATAACAAATATGTTTAAAATAATAATTAAATATATGAGTTACCTCTATATCACACACGTGCCTAGTAACATGCTTTGGATACATAGAAATATGTGATAGGTCTGGAAGGCCTCCTAGAAAAATATCAGGAACAACAACACGAGGTTCAACAATATGGACTTTTAGGGCTTCTGGAGCATCACAAACAACAATAGGGGACTTATATCTCCGGGAGGACGACATTGAAGACACATGAACTTCAGAAGACGATGCTTCTACATCAAATGAGATGACACTAATAGCTGGATACAACGATCTAGCTTTTTCCACTACAAAAGCCTATTGAGCCATTTTACCATGTCTTATTTGTCTTGGTTGTTAAGCATTTTAAATGTAATTACACCATAAAATCATATCATAATAAAATAAGCTAAACCCAGAGGATATAAAAGGAAAAATCAAACACACGATGCAGAACAGAAAAATCCATATTTTTTTTCTCTGGACTCATGGTTCGGATTCCAATCTCCAGATGAAACTAGATAAGGAGAAAATGTGAACATCTAAAGCAAAACATGTTCTAAATTCTAAACTTGAAAGATTGTAAATGCATACATCACAACTCAATTTATTATTCTTTAAACTACAACCTAATGCATTATAAATGCCATATTTAGCCAATGCATTCATCATAAAAAAAAAAAATGAAAAACTTACCATATTGTGAGAAAATTTGAAAAATGAGAAACCTCAATCTAATGGAGTAGAATAAAGGTTGAGCGATCACCTAGGCTTGAATACAATGTAGTTGAAGTAGTGAAAAAAATTTAAAAAATAATGGAAATGAAATTTGCTCACTAACTCTGATTTTAGTTCTGAGTAAGTTTCTAAAATGATGAAGAAAGAGACAAAGATTCGACGCGATTGAAGATTAATCTCTATAAAAAAATTTGAAGATTGAAATCTAAATTATTTCACCATTGTTATAGTCTGACTATGAGATATGAGTGTGGTGTGATGAGGGGTGGGTACAAATTTCAATCTCCAAATTTTTTTAACCTTTACATATTTCATTTAGTATATTGTTTTCATTTTGGATGCATTACTGAAGTTTCACCGTTGTGGGTAAATAAACAATTCAGAGGGTGGAAAAATCAATCCCTAAAATGAAAACAAAATTCGAAATGGACTGAAAATAGAATCAATGATAAGCCGAAAACATAGTGAGCTGGGCGAAAATGTAATTGATTTTCTCAATTTTGATTGTAAATAAAAATACAAAATTTGAGGCAAAAATCACATTTAAGCATAAAAAAATACATAAGCTTCAAGTAAATTTGCAAGATAAAATAGAAGAATTTGAAAATATTGCTAGTACATAAAAACGAGTGGTTAAGAGCGTTAATTAGCGATTAGAGAGGGAAACCTTATCATTCATAAATTGGTGTGTAGAAGAAGAAGACGAAGTTGATACTGATACACCATGTCAATCATTAATCATGCAATGTCAATCAGAAGAAGCAACACTAATACTTTCTTTCCATTTCGAACACTTAATTGCTCCAATTCAAACCCAAACAACCGTTCCGTTGCTGCTGGTGGCTTCGGCGATAAGACCAACAAACCTAACAAAAAGGGTTCGCAGTCGCAGCGAAACCAAAGGGAATTATCCACTAAACAATCTCGTAAGTCAAATTCAATCAACTCTTGGCGTCGATTACAAACCTACAAATTCCAATTATCATCGTTTTTTTTCTTTCTAGAGGCACCGCGTTTAACTTCAAAGCTTGATGGCAAATCCACAAACATTTCTTCGGACATTGATTTTGAAGAACGCCTAAAAGCTGTTAGAAGGTGCATGTTTGTTTTCTAGTAATATTTTTACTGCAAATTATTTTCGTTAATTGGTGATAAATTGTTGTTTTTGTATGCTACTCAGGTCGGCGCTAGAGAAAAAGAAGGCAGAAGAGAAAGAAGAATTCGGAGCTATTGATTATGAGGCACCTATTTCTTCAGACAACAAGACAATTGGCTTTGGTACCAAGGTACAATTATTCTTTTCTATCACATGAAAGAGTCATCCATCTATAAGAACTGTGTAGATATATAACTATCATGATACAGGTGGGAATAGGTGTAGCTGTTGCTGTCTTTGGTCTGGTTTTTGCTTTAGGAGATTTTCTTCCTTCCGGAAGGTAAGCGCCTGAAATGTAGTTGAAGACTTGATGCCATCACTTAACTGTCAATTTTCCTTTGCTACGAATATGCTTGGTGTGATAATTGCTAATTGAGGCACGGTGTCTTTGTGAAGTCTCCAACTTAACATTTTCAGATATTTGAGACTAGGAAATCATGATAACTTACTTTTTCTTACCCTAATTCAAAACTTACTATAGGTAGTCTTTTCCATACCTACAACAACAAGCTTTGATACCAATTGATTAGTATCCAAGTATACGAGAAACCTTCCTTTAAAAGTTAACTTGGGGGGCAACAAAGCTAATAAAATACTCCATTGAGTATCCCTTATTACTCAATGTGGAGCTTAGGCCCATAGTACCTAAGTCGCGATCAAACTGAATTATGAACTACTCTTTGATACAAAAGCATTTCTAAAGTTGAAAGTTATTTTGAATTTAATTGACTTCTCAAGTGTGGTAAAAGAACTTTAGAATTGAAAGATTTTTTTCATTAATAATATAAAAAAGCATTGATACCCTAATTCAAAACTCACTATAGGTAGTCTTTTCCATTCCTACAACAAGTTTTTATACCAATTGATTAGTATCCAAGTATTAAGAAAACGTTTTCGTAAGGCTATGTTTGGATATTATAAAATGAACGGAGCGGAGTAAAAAGGCGGAGTAAAAAGGATGGAGTGGAATGAAGATTTCTTTCATTCCATCATTTGGAAATTTTAGGACGGGACAAGGCAAGTTCTCATTCCGCCTAAATCGGAGGGGAAGAAATATAGTGGTAAGTGATGGAATGAAGTTGAACCATACCACTCCACTCCATCCTATTTTAAATGATCCAAACAATGGAAGATCACTTCATTCCATCTCATACCGCTCTGCACCATCCAATTCCATCAATCCAAACAAAAGATAGCTATCAAGGGAGAGAACAAAGCTACTTAAAAACTACATCAAGCATCCCATATTACTCAATTTGGAACCTAGGCACCCCATAGTACCTAAATCGTGCTCAAACTGACTTCTGAACTACTTTTTGCAACAAAAGGATTACCAAAGTTAAATGTTCAAAAGTTGTTTTGAATTAGTCGACTTCTCAAGTGTGTTAAAAGAACTTTAGAATTAAAAAAAAGCATTGTTTATATTATTAAACAAGTCAAGTTTCTTTTTCTGTTGGTTGGAATTTGAATTGCTTTGTTTCTCATATTATGTTGTTTCAATGGCCTCTCTTGCTGTTTTAAAGTAACAAGACATTTAGAAAAGGGTGTCACTGCATTGCCATACTCTAACCCGTTCATAAGGACAGTTAGCTTGCAACTACAGACAGAACAGGAAATCAGACTGATTGTGTGTGCGCGTGTGTATGATTGCATGTATGTATATATGCACATCAATCTTTTGAATTTTAAATGATGTTATGCTATATGCAGCTAATAATTATGAATGCTTTCCCTCATTGTGCTCTTTTAATTGCTCTTTAATTTTGTGTATGGTTGAAATTGGCATATCTTTTCTGTATTAGTCCCAACGAAGACACTGCTGTGGTCAATGATAAGTTGTCAGAGAAAGATAAGGCTGCTCTTCAGGTATGATTTCCCCCTGATTTTTTCTTTACTTCTGGCAATCTGTCAGGCACTAATGTTCTTCCTAAGTATTCTCCTATCTTTTCCTTATGAAATAAATGTTAACTGAATTACGATCGTTCTTTTCATGGACTGGTGGTAAGATGGGATGTCTGGTAGATAGTTATTTGTTCTTTTTATGTGTTTTAAATTTTGTTTTAATCATTATTAGTAGTTATCTAGGATATGATATAAGAGTATTTTTTGTACCAGAGATATTTATGTAAAGCTTTTAACGTGCATAGATACACTTCTAAAATATGAAGATGTAATATATAGGAAGGAAACAGGATAGTATAAAATAGTCTACAGAAATTTTCTGCTTTAGACACACACATTGAGAAGAGGTTTGATAACTTGTTTTAATCCTTTGTTCCTTATCTTTGGTGTCTCCTTATAGAAAATTAACTAGCGAGTATATATGAACATTTTTGTTCTCAATCACTTTAATGTAAATCTATGCAAGAGTCATCATTTGTAATTTTTGCCTCCAGAATATTGCTGTTAGACGCAAGTTGTTTCCATATCAATGGCATGTTGCTTTGTTCATCCCTATCATTTTGAGAAAGTATTACAATATGGTTTTAAGCATTTATAATATATATCTTTCCTGAAACCTGGCAGAGTAGGCTTAAGGAATTTGAAGCGACATTAAGTAACTCCCCAAGAGATCCAACAGCTCTCGAAGTAAGTAGTGGGTGATAGTTATGTTCTGCTAATTTTTGTGTCTCTAGATACATTTAAAAGGGTTTTCAGGGTGCTGCAGTAACATTGGCAGAACTAGGGGAATATTCAAAAGCTGCTTCTCTACTCGATGATTTGGCGAAGGTTAGTATTATTTTGACCATGGATATTTTTTCGAAGTTGCCTATTATGTGTTGAAAAGTATCTCCATTTAGGGAAATTATTTAGGTTCCTGTAATTAGAGATTGTAATGTAATCACATTATACGTTTAATCTTCTTAGGATTTCCTCAAGCAAATCCGACTAAAATCGTTTCTTTCAAATACTTTTTGCACAAATCATGCTGCTTAATCATAGAATAATTGTTGAACTGATTTTTTTTCGTGTTCCAAGGAAAAACCAAATGATGCTGATGCTTTTCGTTTGCTTGGAGAAGTTAAGTATGAGCTTAAAGATTATGATGGGAGTGTTGCTGCATATAAAAGTTCAGCAAAGGTCAGTCTTTTGAAATATTTCAAACAATTTTTTGGGTGGATGTTTTAAATGACTTAAAACAAAGATTTTTTTTTTCTGTTCATTCTGCAATTTAACTTGGAAAAGTAGGATCCTGATAACATCTATTTAGTATTTTGTAAATGAGTACACATCCATGTGAAGTTGTGAACTAGAGTTTAAAATTTTAAGGCACATGAGGCTATATTACAAAATCTCAGCGATGAATTATTTCAGGTTTAGTTGTTTCATCGAATGTTATCCAAGTATATCTGGATGATCTCTGACAGGTATCTGAAGATGTCAATTTTGAAGTTCTGCGTGGCCTTACCAATTCATTACTTGCTGCTGAGAAGCCAGATGAGGTTTGTCGTCTTGTTAATCGATTCTTCAGATGAATATGTTGCACAGATAAATTTGTAATTTGTTTCTTATCTTAGTCTTTAGTGTATAGTCCTCCGATTTCACCATATGGCCATTCTGGTTCTCAATGTTCACATTTTACAGAAATATAGGGTTTATCTTTTGTTCACCCTGCGGTTCTAGTGAATGTTTAATTAACTATTATATTTTTCAATTCTTTCTACAGGCTGTTCAATTACTTTTGGCTTGTCGCGACCGTCTGAGCTCAAAAGACTTGAGCAACAAAGCTGATAGAAGCCCAACAGACTCGCAGAAGCTGGATCCAGTTCAAGTAAATTTTCACTATCTAGAAAATAGATATTCTTCTCTTTTGTAAGGTCTTTGTATAGCACTCAGAAATGTTTGATAGAGGTGACAATATAATAGCCTGCCAGAACTATAACAAGCTCAACATCACTGAAAATAATCCTGTAAAAAAAATCACTAAAAATAAGAATAATAAGAAATAATTTTATCTTTATACACTAGTGAAATGGAGTGTGCCTATAGGCTATAACAATTCAGAAAAAGTTTAGTTAGCTTTCATCTGATGTAGCATTCTCAATGTACATACTGTATACACAACTTTCTTAGTTCTTCCTTACATAGAAATTTGTCTTATATATTTTACGATTCTTTCTTTAATTGTTTTTCTTTCTATTTTACTGAAATACTCAGGTTGAATTACTTCTAGGGAAAGCCTATTCAGACTGGGGCCATGTTGGTGATGCTATAGCTGTATACGATCAACTCATATCTACTCATCCTGATGACTTCCGTGGATACTTAGCTAAGGCCTGTATTTTCTCTCATTTAATCACTAACCATGGTGTTCTCATTCCATCATTCCATTTTGTGGTTGGTGTACAATTCAATTCCTTCCTTTCAGTGTGGCCATGGTTTGTAAAGTAACACTAATAGTAATTTCACAAAATTGAGGTGAAATTTTTTTCAAAAACACTGATCTAGTAGTATAAAACATGGAGTTCGGATTCAAAATGGAGGGGATCCGGACACTAAAACATCGCGTAACACTTTCTAAGTACTTAATGATATGATACTAATATTTTACTTTTGCAGGGAATCATTTTAAAAGAAAACAAAAGCATTGGAGATGCAGAGAGGATGTTCATACAAGTAAGTTAATGAATTGGACTAGTGCGGCCGACCGAGTAAATAGCAAAATGTTAAAATAACTCATACTATAACTTTATATTTCTGCTTATAAATGTGATTGATGGTTATGGGAACTTGTTGATTTATCTTGTTCAGGCTAGGTTCTTTGCACCTGGTAAAGCTAAAGCACTTGTGGATCGTTATTCAAGATAATAGTTTACTTTATATTGATATCATGGTATGCTATATAATAGAAATAACAATCTTTAACTATGTAACATAAAAATTAGGGTTAATGCCTATTCTCCTCCTTGGGCCCTTTTTCGAAGAAAAAAATCAGTAAAAAAAGATTTGATGAATTCTTCGAATTTGATGATTCTCTCATTTTTACTTTAGTTAAGGCCAATTCATAAAAAATAAATAAATTATGTGACACTGTTTTTTAGAGTTTTTTCATTCAATTTAGTTTTCACATGTGTATTTCAATTTGTAAGATGACAAATATCTCCCAAGTTAAAACAAAACTTTAGATCTGAGATATATGTAAGATCAATAACATATCTCATTGTTAAAGGATATGTCAATAAAACGATAATGGCCAATTGAAGTGAAAGATCAAACTCATTTGAACAACAACATATGTAAATCTTACAATTTTAATTTTTAATTGATCAACTACAAAAGCATAACTCCACAAGAATTCCTCGAAAATGTGTTTAGCTTCTTTAGGATTAACATTCTCACAATCAAAATCAGTCTCATCCATTTTTAGTTTCAAATCCTTCCAATCATAAAGATTCCCCATGTTTTGAAAACTTCTCAACCCTAAAAACCAATTTTCACCCACCATCTGAAATTCCTCCTCCACCCTTTTTAGAATTCTCGACTCCAATTAACCCAGCTTCTCGGGTTTAACAACAAAATTACGACCAACCTGCAGATCCAAATTCTCTTCATCTTCCTCAACGTAACTCACACAGTCAACAAGAACTGTCTTTGCTTTGAGCGAAACAACACATTGTTCGTTGTTATTAGGGGGAAATATGCTAGGTTAGATTAGATTTTAGAAGGCTCGAGTCAGACCTATGATAAATTTACAAGACCAAAGGTTAGATTAGATTTTAGAAGGCTCGAGTCAGACCTATGATAAATTTACAAGACTTTGGTCTGACTTATGGCCTACTATAGACATTTTTTATTGGTCAAGTTTGCCCTTTTTAAAAGTCTGGCATAACCTAAAAACGTATTTAAAAGTCTGGTTCTTATTAAGATTTTCAATTAATCTATATTAATTAAAAAGTCTTATGCGTTAGTCTATATGCATATATAGGCTGACCTATTTAACATTTTTTCTAATATATATATATATATATATATATATATATATATATATATATATATATATATATATATATATATATATATATATATATATATATATATATATATATATATATATATATATATATATATATATATATAGCCCAATTTATTTATCATTTTTTTCTAATATATATTCATATATAGGTCAACCAATTTAGACTATTTCGACGAGAAGAAACTTCAGATGTGGTGTCGTCGAAGAAGAGATTATGTTGGCGATGGGTTATGACGTGGAAGGGAGAGAGCAAGGTGATGACGTGGTGATGAGATTCTGCGTTTGTGAGACGAAGCTTCACTTTGACTTCTATTTTAGATAGAGGTAAAGAGAGAGAAAGCAAATCGGGAAGAGATTAGGATTAGAGGCCGATGCGATTTGTTTTGGAAGATGGATCTTCTGTTCGATCAAATTGATGGAAGAAAGTAGCAGCGTTAGTGGTGGTTGTGATGGTGTTACGACGGTGAGTTTTTTCGAATTTTTGTGTGTCTTTGATCTTCACTTCGATCTCACTTTGATTTTACATGAGTTTAATTTTCAACACACCATTTGGTTTTGTTTTTTCCTGGGAGCATTTGTGTCATCTTATAGATTGAAATACACGTGTAAAAGTTAGATTAAATGAAAAATCTATAAAAACTAATGTCGCGTTAGCTTTTTTTATGAGTTGGCTTGACGAAAGAAAAAACATTGAAAATGTAGAGAAGACGTTCATACAAGTAAGTTTATGAATTGAACTAGCGCAACCGGTTAATAGCAAAATGTTAAAATAACACCCAGGTGAAAATAAAGTCACTAATTAGTGACCTGATCACCACGTCGCAAATTACAAAATTATGTGGGGATGTTCCCACATGATTTTCAAGTCATTAATTAGTGACGTGAATTTCATGGGGGAAAATGTCTTCATGGAAAAAAGAGTCAAGTGTGCAGTGTGCAGTCTGTGCTGATTCAGCTGATTCAGTCTGTGCAGCATGCAGTTTAGTGACGTGAATTACATGTCACTATTTAGTGACTTGAAAATCACATGGGAAGATATTCTCTATTTAAATTTTAGTGACGTGATTTTCATTTTACTGGTTTATTTTAAATTAAAATGTAAAAATTAATAAATATTAATGATAATTTTATATTAAAAACAATAAAAAAATTTAATAAAAAAATTAAAATAAATAATAAAATGTAAAAAATAAAATAATTTTAGATTAAAGAAATCAATTTTTTTACGTTTGTTTTAAATTCTTCTTTTTAAAATAAATTTGTTGTTTAAATTGTGTTTTTTAAAAATTATACATAACATACTAATATAACTTTTTCATATTTATTTATATACTTTTTTTAAACATAAACTTCTCTAAAATTACTTTTTAACAAAAATACTTCTACTTATTATATACTTTCATTTTTATATAAATATAAATATTACAATTCTATTTTTAGTATAAATAAAAAAAATTAGTTTTGGTAAATCTACATATATATACTTTTTTCTATATAATGTTTTTTAGTTTTCATATTTTTTAAAAAGTTATTTTACATTTATTTTAAATTCTATTTTTTAAAATAAATTTGTTGTTTAAATTATGAACGAAGAACAGAGAAGAGGAAAAATGTGAAATGTGTTGGGTTTGTGGGTGAGAAAATTATATAGAGTATTTTGTGACATGGTCAACATAAAGACTCGAGTGTTTTCCACTTGGAAAAATATTTAATGGTTTAATTTTTTAACTTATACACTCCAACATTATAAACCTGTAATAAATGTGAATCAGATGTGCTGTTAGCAATGTGAAATGCAAGTGAGAAATTTGTGACGTGAAAGCCACATTGCTACAAGTTCAATTATTCAAACTTGTAATGAATGCGTGTCAGGTGTACAGGTCAACAACGTGAAAACAAAGTCGGAACATTGTGACATGTAAACTAAGTTGGAACAAGTCACAAATGAAAATTTAAAAAAATTTAAACTTACACTCCAGGTAAAATCTAATTGTTAAATGTTTAAGTATTTTAAATTTTTTTTTCAACATGTGGTTCGTGTCACAACTATTTTAAAAAAATCCACACACATCACACACCAGATGCATATTTGAAAATTATTTATTTATTATTAAAATAATATTGTAACGTGCTAAATAGGTCGGAGCCTGTATTATTACTCACGTGATTATCACGTCACTAAATTACATAGTAAAATCAATAATTTCTTGTAGTGTATATACATATATAGCTTCAAATTTAATTTCCTGCTCACGAGTGAGATTGGTGGTTATGGAAAGTTTGTTGGTTTATCTTGTTATAACATATGAATATTTCTAATCTTCTCATGATATATCTCCATTGCTAACCCATGATTGAGCTATAATATTGTGAGGTAGATAATGCCTTGAAAAACACAGGCTCAAAATCAAAAACTAATTAACTAATGGTTATTCCGAATCCTCAAAAATATATGCAACCACTTCCTAATTATATATAAACTAAATTCTAATTGTGCATTCAAATTTTCAACCTTCTTTCCCTCTATTAAAAAATAAACAGACTGTGCTTCATTGAAGAATATCCCAGGAGGAAAAGTTTAAATAAATAAATAAACTTCTATTTAAACTTTTCCTCTTCGATGTCACAGGTTATATGTTCATAAATAAATAAATTGAAAATGAAAGTTGGTGGAATTTCCCTATCCACCCCAAAGCTATCAATGCCTATCAATCTCCATTGTAGATCAAAATCAGCAGCGACTCACAGAATGCCATTAATGGTTGAGGCCGGAGAATCCTCCGACGGAAAAAAGCCGAGCAAGGTTCCGAAAGGATACCTTGCCGTCATCGTCGGACCGAAATTCAGAAGGTTTGTGATTCCGATAAGGTTTTTGAGCATGCCGGAGATGAAGAATTTGATGGATATTGTTGCTGAGGAATTTGGCTGTGATTATCATGCTGATGGTGCTCTTCATATTCCATGTGATGAAGATTATTTTAGCAATGTTTTGATTAATTGTTATGCCACACAACGAAGCGTATCTTCCAAGAAAAATAAGATCAAACTTGGTTCTAAGATTCCCTTAATTAACACTCATTAATTTATTATTATTATTATATAATCTCAATTACAAGGGAAATTAACATGATTTCTTTATATCATGTGATTAGGACTTCCATTTTTTATTTTCATAGTGTGATCAGATCATTAATTCATTTTGTTATTGCATATTGTCCATTTGTTGTAAGCTGATTAAGTTGCTTAAAGAATTATTTTTCAAAAAAATATTTAAAGAAATATACATCACATGATAAGATATATTGAAACAAGTTGTGGAAGGGAACAAAGCGAATCTTTTGGATCAAGAGTGGCACAATCACATTTTTATAATATATAAAAAAACTAGATTCTGGGTTTGGAGTATAAATCCGAATATACAGTAATGTTAAATATTTTGTACCCGAGTTTTATTGTTTATTGTAGTTCTTCTTAATTCGAGAGGTAGCAGTGTTTCACGTAGTTGCGCACAAAAAGATATTCAGTATATACACATAAAATCAACTAGAAAAAAACTTCTATATAAATAGATAAATAAATAAAAGGCAACAATTATAAGAATTATTGATTAATATGATGATCATCTACAAACTTGAGCATGATGAGTAGGAGTAACATCACAACTAACCATGTCTTTCTCTCCATTGAATCCAAAGTCATGCAAGTTTAAGTCTTCTTTTTTATCTTCCACCACCTTCAATATCTTCTCAAACATGGATACTTGACATGGAATTTTGAGTACACCCTCTTGTTGAAAACCAAACTCCTCTTCAGCTTCATGAAGCAAAATCTCAAATGCTTGGTGTTTCAAGTAATCCATTGGAATAATGAATCTCTTCAGCTCTTTCCCTACACAAACAGCTAGAAAACCTTTTGGAACTATGTCCACATTCGAAATCGAAAGATCATTGAACGATAAGGTTCGTTTCAGAAACTTGATACTTTTACTACCACTACTACTACTACCACTATTAATACTCGAGTTCGAGTTGTTGTTAGTGGAAGCATTTGTGGCAACTTTTTTCCACTTCTTGAGGATTTGTTGAAGCTTAACAATCTCTCTTATTTTGTTAGACTTCTTTGAATCCATGAATGCAAATTAAACCACTTTTTGATATTGTTTCTTTTCTTGTTTGTATGTTTATATTTTGAGGGGTGAAATGGTGTGGAGTAGTACTCTTATATATGAATCTCATGTGAGTGTGAATGATAGCATACATTTATAAGCTGAACATGCACAACTTGCTCATTGCTACAATTTTATTTACTCCTTATTTTATTCCTACATGCATTTTATATTTGTTTCAATTATGTATCATGGAAGTGATTAATTACTAATTTTGTCCACAAATTAGTAAGATTTAATTTCCAACCAAATTAGTTAGCGTAAACATTTTTTAATTATTAAATTATTCAAAATATATTTTTATGTATGGTTTGAATGAGAATTTGGTAATTGAGAAAGAGAATTTGGATCACATATAAAATAATTTGTATGGTTTGAATGATAATTTGGTAATTGAGAAAGAGATGTTTGATAGTAGAAGGAAGCAACTTGATTTTGAACTTGTGGTTATAGAAAATAGTGATAAGAATTTGGTGAGAGATTTATGTAATAGTTTGTATTTGAAAAAATAATAATAACATTTGGGGTGATGAAAACAATCCTCTTAAGCCATATCAAAAAGAATTTACTTTACTTAAGAAAAAAATAAACTTACTCAATCTAAAATAAAAATTAATATCTGAGTCGTGTCAGATAAACACAACATCACTCAATGAAAGTCATTTATTAGAATGCTAAAGAGGTGGGAAACATTGATACTATGATGGCTATTAAAAATATCTATGATCAACAGATGTCTGACTTGTTTTTTATTATTAAACCAATGATTTTTTATGCTTATTTTCCTATTGAGTGTTTTAAACAAACCGGACTTAAGAGATTTGTATTAAATTTTAGACCAAATCATGATACAAACCAATAGAATTTTTGTGCAATTGATATTGTACTAATATACTCGCAAAAGATTTACATAAGGTGGTGTAAGAGTCACCAAAAGAGAACAAATAACACCCATAATCCAAAGTAGGGTTGATAGTCGCCCATTTGTTGCAATGTGTGTCGGTTTATCACAAATGTGCGACTATTATCTATAAGGGTCATCCATTAATTGAAATAGTTGCTAACTTTTGAAGACGTGGGAAAAGGCATATTCCAGTCTAGTAACGGTACATGAATGACAATCAAAGAAAAGAGCCACGTTCTACAGAATAATATGGGAAATAACTATCCTTCCACGCTTTTGTGTGTGTGTGTGTGAGTGTGTGTGTGTGTGTGAGAGAGAGAGAGAGAGACAGGGGGAGAGAGATGTTGTTAATGACTTTTTTTTGTTATAGGACTCAGAGGTTCGTATAAATACACCAACCCTATGGTTGAGGAGGACATTCATTTTACTTAGTAAACACAAATATACATAGTTTCTCACCGTCCTTATGTGAGCTTTTCTTAACACCGAACAGCCTCACAGCCCTTAGACAATCCTACACAGCCAATGATAATCACTCATTGTACTTTTAGCAAGTACAACTAACGCCCACCACGGGATCCAGTAAAACTGATTTGGGTCACACACACCATCACCACTTGTTTTCGCCATCTTCTTCAAGAGGATGGCAAAATAAAATTTCAAGATTTCTACAACACCATTATGGATGTTTCCTCGACAAGGGAGAATCCAATTCCTCCCGCCGAAAATATGTCAGCAGGTTTTGACAGCAAATGTCACACGCGTTGACCCTAAAGTAAACATGGAAAGGAAACTATAGTCCAAAATCTTTTTCTCCAACAAAGACCTCGTCGACATTCTCCCACACGACAACGATTTCATGGTCATTATAGTACAATACAATAATTAGAATGTGAAGTGAGTATTGATCGATTCTGAGAGCTCAATAGATATTCTATTTTTAAATATCTTTCAGAGAATCTGACTTGACCCATATGACATCAGAGAATTCTATAATTTTATGATTGATTTGTCAGAAAAATAGATATAAGTGAAAGGTCAAATTATAGAGATGGTTTAAATCTAACTTAAATTTAAAACAATTAATTTCATATTGCAATATTTCAATACTATTGCTAAGGAAAACTTCTACAAATTTGATATCTACATAAAGGATGTATGTGGCAAGGTATAAGTCGTCCATGATTCTTTGATTTCTACCACATTCTCAAAAACATAATAATGTATATGATTTATTAATCAATATTCAATTATTAATTTGGCATATTGTTATGTGCCGAATTTATTGATAAATTAAAAATAAAAAACTTAAAAACTAAAATGATTAATTCAAGTTTCTGATGTTTGTTGTTGTCAGTTATGTGTATGTAGATGATTATTTATTGGCAAGTTGAAATATTGGATGATTACAAGATCTGAGAAGGTGGTGCTATGTTATTTCCATGTGAATTGCCCATTGTTTTATCCAACAAGCAAATATTAAAATCTTAAGCCAGCAGATTATTGAAATGGTCTCTCATCAATAAAATCATATATAAATCTTTTAATTCTTTATATATTTGGTTGACTTATCACAAAATGATTAGTAATATACCGTACTAAGATTTTCTATTTGTAGCATTCATTTCCATTTAAAGAATATTGTACTCTGCCTTGACCATGTTCTCTCTATAATCCTACATCTTAGGCATCTTTCATTTGCCAAAAGATTTTATGATTTTATTTTTACTTTTAAATTTTTTTATGACGTCATAAAATTAAGATAGAATGTCTAATCAGTTAATAGATATGAATTATAAGTATTGAAATCAAGTAGGTAAAAGTCCCACAATAATTAGAAAAAGTGAAAATTTAACATTTTATAAATGAGAAATTTTATATATTTATCAATTTAAAGTTTTTGGTAAGTATATAGTGTGTTTCTCACAATGTGTATTGTTCATAAAGAAATATTTTAATAAAAAATATTTTCTCATATCGACCTCTGAATTGATGATCTAACAGTGGTACCAGAGTCATTGATTTGAGAAAACTCATACACCTTTCACCTTAAGGTTTTGGGTGAGTATTTGGTGTGTCTCTCGTAAGATTTGTTTATAAAAAATAAAGGCTCCAATAAAAAATGATCTCTCATTTTGATTACCAAAATGATGATCTAACAGTGGTATCCAAAGTCATTGGTTTGAGTGAAGGGCGATTCATTTATATAAAAAATTCTCCCTGCATGGTGGTGGATATGAGGCATGTCTCGGTGAAAATGTGTCAACGACGGTACAAAATGTATGTGAATGAAAGAACTTTCACATGAGGGAGAGCATTTTTGATAGCCTCACACTTGAGGAAGGGTGTTGAGAAAAACAAGTGTGGGTTGAAAGTGTTAAGAAACAAGTGCTGGAAAGTCCCACTTTAATTAGAAAAGTGAAGGTTGGGCACTTTATAAGTGAGAGAACTCACACACCTATCACCTTAAAATTTTTTATGAGTATATGGTATGTCTATCATAAGAGTTGTTTGCTCATAAAGAAAGGCCCCAATGTATGCACATGCTCCCTCGTGTTAACCCCAAAAAAATTGATGATCCAATAGTGGTATCTAAACCTGGTTTGAGAGATGATGTATTTTTTATTTATCGAAAGTCTCGTTGGAAAAAGTGTCAACGATGATACAAGTGTATGTAGATGAAAAAATTTTCGCGTGAGGGAGAGCATTATGAATAAATCCTGTTGAGAAAAAAAGTGCAAGTTGGAATTGTTGAGAATCAAATGTGAGATAAAAGTCCCGCATTGATTAGAAAAAGTGAATATTAAGCACTTTATAAGTGCGAGAATCCATACACCTATCACCTTAAGGTTTTGGGTGAGTATGTGGTGTGTCTTTCATAAAGTGTATTGCTCATAATGAAGGCTCCAATGAAAAATGCTATCTCATTTTGACTCCCAAATTGATGGCCTAACAATGGTATCCATAGTCGTTGGTTTAAGTGAAGGATGACTCACTTATATAAAAAATCCTTCCTACATGGTGGTGGGTAGGAGGCATGTCCCTTTGAAAAGTGTCAACAATGATACAAAGTGTTGGGTAGGAGGCATGTCCCTTTGAAAAGTGTCAACAATGATACAAAGTGTACGTGGATAAAAGAGCTTCCACTTGAGGGGGACTGTCGATAGAGTCACGCTTGAGTAGAGTGTTGAGAAAAATAAGTGTGAGTTAAAAGTGTTTAGAAACAAGTGTGGGGAAGTTTCACATTGATTAGAAAAATGGGAATTGAGAACTTTATAAGTGGAAAAATCCACACACATATCACTTTAAGGTTTTGTGTGAGCATGTCGTATGTCTCTTATAAGATATATTTCTCATAAATAAAAATCCAAATATAAAAAAAAAAAAAAAAACTCCCTCACATTGACCCCAAATTGATGACTCAAACAATTAACACAACAATTGATTTGCCTTGGCTCGGGCTAAATGCTACCACCAATAATATCACATCAACATCTTTGTGGAGGACAGGGGTAGGTGCATCAACTATGGGGTCTTTGGGTATACCCTACAAATACCCAAACTGAAGTAAAATAGATATGGTTACATAATTCAATATCCACAAGTCAACCATCCAGAGTACAAGAATATCACCTCTAAGGATTGTGCCATACAGTGTTTGTCGTGTGGCATGAAACAAATATCATCTGACACGATGCGATCAAGAGAAACTCTAGCTTCAAGTAACTTGGAGTAAAGACAAACAAAACAAGTTGCCCCTTAATTGTAATCATGAATCCTCTCAAAGTCAATGAAGTATTTAATGTAGTCATTATCTATATAGGTCACACTTTTGTCTACAAATATGAATGTGCAAGCCAAAAACATGAATTATGACCTTAATGCACATGCTTTGTGATATGAAACAAGTGAATCATCACCTGCGACATCCTTGGTTTCAGCCAAGTGGTCTTCATACAACTTCACCAAAAATGAAAATCTAGCAAGACATCATTTGGCATCATCTATCTCTTGTTGGTATTTACATAGGTCGACTCCTAAATATGTCACCATCATGTGC